AAGCACCTGTATGAACCTCTGTTCTTCAGAGTGGTAGTCTTTAAGGGGTTGAATAATTGTGGCAATGAAGAAACCACATAAGAACCATTTACTCCATAAACAATTGATGTCATTTTAGTTGCATTTGGGTAGTTACAACGTAGGATTTGATTCTGAATACAATTCCAAATGTACACTATAGTCCCTAAACCCCTTTACAGCATTGGGGGTTGAATAATTTTTGGTCACAACTTACTATGTAGTACAATTATTAATAGTGTGGTAGAAAATCCTGCATTCTCCACCATCTGTTGTAGAGGAATGCAGACCGCTGTCTTGTGCAGTAAAAATATCATCCACATTTATTATATTACAAAAGGTTATTACATTCATTAGTCCAGCTGAGTCCAACATTCTCACACACAGCAAACAGTAGTGAGAGCCACCTATCACAACACTATACGGCCCCCGAAAACTTGGCACTAGGGTAGAGACTTGGGTAATTAAATCTCCTCCTGTGGCACCCAGTGTCCATCCCGACCTCCAGAGCCCCAACCATCTTTGGTAGATAAAGTGATATAGAATTGCCCGCATTCTCCACTAGTTGCTGTAGAAGAATCCAGGCCACTGTTTTGTACAGTGAAAATATAATTCAGGTTTATTAGTTTATCATTTATGCAAGGAAGCTGATTAACATATGACATACTCCTCATTACCCACAGGGATGAAAAATACATTTGAAATCTATTTGAAAATGGGTGGTGGATGGGTGTTCCAGCATGACAATGACCCAAAACACACGGCCAAGGCAACAAAGGAGTGGCTCAAGAAGAAGCACATTAAGGTCCTGGAGTGGCCTAGCCAGTCTCCAGTCCTTAATCCGATTGAAAATCTGTGGAGGGAGCTGAAAGTTGGAGTTGCCAAACGTCGGCCACCAAACCTTAATGACTTGGAGAGGATCTGCCAAGAGGAGTGGGCCAAAATCCCTCCTGAGATGTGTGCAAACCTGGTGGCCAACTCCAGGAAACGTCTGACCTCTGTGATTGTATCTTTCATACAGGTAACAAGCTGAGATTAGAAGCAGTCTCTTAAAGGGAGTGCTGCTAATCTCTTTTTGTTACCTGTATAAAAGACACCTGTCCATAGGAGCAATCAAACAATCAGATTCCAAACTCTCCACCATGGCAAAGACCAAAGAGCTGTCCAAGGATGTCGGACAAGATTGTAGACCTACACAAGGCTGGACTGGGCTACCAAACTATCGCCAAGCAGCTTGGTGAGAAGGTGACAACAGTTGGTGCAATCATTTACAAATGGAAAAAACGCAAAACAACTGTCAGTCTCCCTAGGTCTGGTGCACCATGCAAGATCTCACCTCATGGAGTGTCAATGATCATGAGAACAGTGAGGAATCATCCCAGAACTACACGTGAGGATCTTGTCAATGATCTCCAGGCAGCTGGGACCACAGTCACCAAGAAAACAATTGGTAACACACTACACCGACAAGGACTGAAATCCTGCAGTGCCCGCAAGGTCCCTCTGCTCAAGAAAGCACATGTCCAGGCCCGTCTGAAGTTTGCCACTGAACATCTGAATGATGCAGAGGAGGACTGGTAGAAAGTGTTGTGGTCAGATGAGACCAAAATCCAGCTCTTAGGCATCAACTCAACTCGCCGTGTTTGGAGGAGGAGGAATGCTGCCTATGACCCCAAGAACACCATCCCAACTGTCAAACATGGTGGTGGAAACATTCTGCTTTGGGGGTGTTTTTCTGCTGAGGGGACAAGACAACTGCACCGCATCAAAGGGACGATGGACGGGGCAATGTACCATCAAATCTTTGGTGAGAACCTTCTTCCCTCAGCCAGGGCATTGAAAATGGGTCGTGGATGGGTGTTCCAGCATGACAATGACCCAAAACACACGGTCAAGGCAACAAAGGAGTGGCTCAAGAAGAAGCACATTAAGGTCCTGAAGTGGCCTAGCCAGTCTCCAGACCTTAATCCAATTGAAAATCTGTGGAGGGAGCTGAAAGTTGGAGTTGCCAAACGTCAGCCACCAAACCTTAATGACTTGGAGAGGATCTGCCAAGAGGAGTGGGCCAAAATCCCTCCTGAAATGTGTGCAAACCTGGGGGCCAACTCCAGGAAACATCTGACCTCTGTGATTGCCAACAAGGGATTTGCCACCAAGTACTAAGTCATGTTTTGTGAAGGGGATCAAATCCTTATTTCCCTCGTGAACATGCAGATCAGTCATCATTTGTTAGACATGCATTTCTGCTGAATTTGTTGTTGCTATTCTGTATCTCAGTGTTACAATACACCGAACATTTGATTTTTAGACTGATTATTTCTTTGTGAGTGGGCGAACATTCAACATCAGCAGGGGATCAAATTTTCTTCACTGTTTTATATATATATTGAATACAACCAAAATTGTAGCATTTCAAATATGTCAATATATTTGGGAAGACAATTTTTAAAATATATTTAAAAATATATTTTTCTTCCATGTGGGTAATACCTACAAAACCCACTTAGATAACCCTCTTTCCCTCCAAAACTGTGCAAATTTCAAGAAGATGGTCTTCTTATTTAGCCATAATATGCATTTTTAGACCAAGATAACCTGGAATATCCAGGAGTCTCTCTTGTTTCCTCATAACAAAGTATACCTTTCACATGTTCATACATTCTGGATTATTAACTTTCAACAAGGTTGGAGAACACGACCACAACCCAGACCACAACCCAGACCACAACCCAGGACAACCCAGACCACAACCCAGACCACAACCCAGACCACAACCCAGACCACAACCCAGGCCACAACCCAGGCCACAACCCAGACCATAACCCAGGCCACAACACAGACCACAACCCAGACCACAACCCAGACCACAACCCAGGCACAACCCAGGCCACAACCCAGACATAACCCAGGCCACAACCCAGACCATAACCCAGGCCACAACACAGACCATAACCCAGGCCACAACACAGACCACAACACAGACCACAACCCAGACCATAACCCAGGCCACAACCCAGACCATAACCACTAAGCCTGCAGGTTGGCTGAATCCATCTTCAGTAGTTGTGTGTTATATGTAGACACGGCTGATACATTGAACGTCTTTTTATATATTCAGAGTGGAAACCTCGGGGACAGTATTATTGTAGTAAAAGAAGAGTTCAAAGAGGAGGATGAGGAGCATGGAGTGATGGAGGAACTTTCAGAAAGACACAAGGATACTATGATAGAGCCTCCTAGTAAAAGAAAACCACCAGAGAGATGTCCCCGTCCTCTGTATTCCCAGGATTCCACACAGGAAGGTCACACCATCGCTCACCATCATCAGGTAGGTGAGGAACAATCACTGATAGTATCAGGATCTGTACATTATCTGCATTGTTACCATTGATGTAATTTTATTATATATTCAGAGTGGAAACCTGAGAGATTCTACAATTGAGGTTAAAGAAGAGATAAAAGAGGAGGAGGATGAGGATGGGGTGATGAAGGAGTCAGAGATTCCGAAGGACGCAAAGATCTGTACCAGGACACCATGGTGGAGTCATCCAGCTACAGGAACCCACCAGAGAGATGTCCCTGTCCTCTGTATTCCTGGGATTCCACACAGGAAGGTCACACCATCCCTCACCATCATCAGGTCGGTGGAGTTGAGGGTCGGGAACATAAAGTGATGGAACCCTCTGACATGTGGAGACGATGTGTGGACTCTACAAGATGAGATGTTCTATGTGATCTCTCATCATAAATCCTTCTATGTTACAGATGTTATTTTCTGCCATTCTGTTGGTTTAGGGTGAAGATCTGATGAACATGAAAGTTGAGGGTGAAGTAGAAGAGACGTATGTGAGGGATGATCAGCAATATACGGAGGAGGCTGGAATGAGGAGGACATTCATAGAGGAGGACACTCCTACAGAGATCAGCACAGGTGACCAGAATATATTCCTCTCTTATCTCTGCTCTGTTACCCCCCCCCCCAGCCCCCATTGGTTCCTGCTCCACTGACAAGGCGGTGTAAAATGTAGAAGTGATCGGGAGGAGGAGCAAAGGCCCTTTGACTGAAGAGGGGAGGAGTCCCAGCTGATTGGGACATCCACAGAGAACATCTGCTCCCTCCTATCTCCCTGATCCAGATGGAATCTTGATGGAAGTGAACTAACCCTCTCCTATCTATTGATGATGTTTTTCTATTTTTCCAGGACCCGCCATGGAGAAACCCTCAAAGGATCGTCTTACTTTACCTCCAGGTTGTAAAATGGAAGATGAGGACTTTAAACAAGAATGTACAGAAGAAGAAATAATGGCCTCCTGCAGTCCCTCTGACTCTGAGGGACCTCATACTATGGATGATGGTGCTGAAATTCAGGGGGAGATTATATTTTACTGTGTTGAGTGCGGGGAAAGTTTCAGCTCTGAATTAAGTCTTTCTGTACATCAGAGATCTCACACGGGTGAGAAGCTTCATTCCTGTTCTGAGTGCGGGAAATGTTTCCTTCACAAATCAGAACTGGTCAGACATCAGAGAACTCACACCGGCGAGAGGCCGTATTCCTGTCCTGAGTGCGGGAAATGTTTTTCCCAGAAGGCCCATCTTTCCAGACATCAGGGATTACACACAGGGGAGAAGCCATTTTCTTGCCCTGAGTGTGGGAAATGTTTTATTCGTAAATCCAAACTGGACATACATTACAGATCACACACGGGGGAGAGGCCGTATTCCTGCCCTAAGTGCGAGAGATGTTTTTCAGATAAGGACAAGCTTTCCAGACATCAGAGACTGCACACTGGCGAGAAATTATATTCCTGTCCTGAGTGCGGGAAATGTTATACACAGAAATCAGACCTTGTTATGCATCAAAGGTCTCACACAGGAGAGAGCCCATATTCCTGCCCTGAGTGTGGGAAACTCTTTTCACAGAAGTCCAATCTTTCTGTACACCAGAGACTGCACACAGGTGAAAAACCATTTTCCTGTCTCGACTGCGGGAAATGTTTTCCTCGTAAATCAGATCTTGTTATACATCAAAGATCTCACACGGGGGAGAAGCCTTTTTCCTGCCTTGAGTGCGGGAAATGTTTTTCACAGAAGTCCCTTCTTTCCAGACATCAGAGAGTGCACACGGGCGAGAAGCAGTATGTCTGCCCTGAGTGTGGGAAAAGTTTTTACGCAGAATTCAGAACTCATTACACATCAAAGAGCTCACACGGGGGAGAAGCCATTTTACTGCCCTGAGTGCGGAAAATCTTTTTCACAGAAGACGAATCTTTCCAAACATCAGAGATTGCACACGGGCGAGAAGCCGTATTCCTGCTCTGAGTGTGGGAGATGCTTTTCACAGAAATCAGAACTTGTTAAACATCAGAGATCTCACACAGGGGAGAAGCCGTATTCCTGCAATGAGTGCGGGAAATGTTTTACACGTAAGGCAAATCTTAAGGAACATCAGATGTGCCACACGCAGGAAAGGCTGTTTTCCTGCTCTGAGTGTGGGAAATGTTATCCACGGAAATCAGAGCTTGTCAAACATCAAAGATCTCACAGAGAGGAGAAGCCATAGTCCTGCCCTGAGTGCGGGAAATGTTTTACACAAAAGTCTTGTGTTACCAAACATCAGAGAACCCACGCAACCCTTGAGGTGTATTAGTGTCCTGAGTGCAGGAAATGTCTTCTATATGGGTGATATGTTGCCGTACATCAGAGATCCCACACAACCCTTGAGGTGTATTAGTGTCCTGAGTGCGGGAAGTGTCTTCCATATGGATCATATGTTGCCGTACATCAGAGATCTCACACTGGGAAGAAGCACACCTTGATATACACCTCAGAAAACGTGGCTGAGCGCTCCTCTGATCTTTATCATGGAAGAAACACTTTATAAGGAGATCAGAGATCACTAAAGACTTGAAAGTTGTGTCTGGCTTCCTCTGCTAGGAGAGAGAAGGAGGGGGGGGGGTCACTGCTGGTTGGGTCCCTCTAGCAGTGATAGTCTGATCTCCCCTGACCTTCAGCAGAAGCTTCCATGGAGGACATCATGGTGAGAGAGAAGGAGGGGGGTCTCTGCTGGTTGGGTCCCTCTAGCAGTGTAGTCTGATCTCCCCTGACCTTCAGCAGAAGCTTCCATGGGGGACATCATGGTGAGAAAGAAGGAGGGGGGGGGGGGGTCACTGCTGGTTGGGTCCCTCTAGCAGTGTAGTCTGATCTCCCCTGACCTTCAGCAGAAGCTTCCATGGATGACATCATGGTGAGAGAGGAGCTAGATATTGCTTGTGGATGAAGAGAAGAGATCAGACTGAAAACAGAAATGGTGGACTTTAGAGGTCTCCGCATTCAACAAAATGTTACAATAACACTTCTATTTCAAAATAAATTGTTACAAATAATGAAAATGTGTACTTTTTTTTCTTAATAGTAAGTCTATTAAAGTCTGATACATCAATACATGTTGTATCAATTGCACAAATACACTATATTCCCCCAAGTATTCTCCCCGCCCCCCTGTATACACACTATATTGCCCGCAGTATTGGTCGGCCTGTAGCTGGCCAGCTAAGACCAGTCCTAGGTTCACATATATGTGTATACCAAACCTGCCAATAACATCAGTATAATATATATGTGCATATGTTAAAGCCAAAAGCAAAATCATTGCTGTAATTTATGTCTTTGATTGTTATATGACATTTATATATTCATTGTGTTAGCAGAAGCAGAAAAGGAAAATATGCCTTTAAGAGTTAGTTAAAGATGAGCCAATCACAGACAGCCTCACACTGTACAGAGCCTTAACCAATCCCAGCCAGTTTCACATCTATGCCTGTGTAAAACTCCCTGCTAGGATTTTCTAGAGACACATGCTCACCAGACAGAAGAGGAAACAGACAGTTCCAATCAGAAGAGCTTTATGGAGGCAGAGCAGGCCAAATAGGTATTTAATGCACTTGTGTGTTCCTCTATTGTTTGGCAGTGCAGGTGGATCTGTGTGTTGAAACTGTTGTGTGTGTTTTACTTGTAGTTCCACCGAACGAATTTACGAACTTATCGAATCGAACTTACAAATTTACCGAATCTAACAAATTTATCAAGCTATCAAATCAAACCACTGTAATATAAAGAAATAAGCTACTGTATGATAAATGAAACAAGCCATTGTAAGCAGTTATATGAAGAAGATTGAAGTTATTAAAGAAGTTAACTAAAGTATTCGGTGTGCTCTTTAAACCTACTGCATCCATAGAGCGGCATTGGAGGAATTACAGAGTAAAGTCAGTCTAAATAAACAAAGAAACAGCAATTGCATAATTTTTCTAATGCCACAGCGCACAAGGCACCAAAGGTGCTGCGCCTGCCACAGTGGAACTATTACCCTCAGAGGTCAAGCAACAGCGCTCCTCAACTTGCACAGTAAAGAGTACACTAGAGAAATAGAGCGCCAGCATATACCGCCACGCGGAGGCACCTCAGCGGAACAGTACAGGCCATAGCACGTGCGCATTAGTAAGACTGCAGCCGACTCTCAAAGTGGCATAACGGCAAAGGCAAGACAGTCAGAGAAAGAGCGCCAAACCTCCTGCACCCCTAGAGAGAGAAAGAGATGCATGGGGGGAGGGCCAGAGTCCAGAGCTAGAGTGCCTGCACCGCTATCCATCAAGAGACCACGTGTTGCATCCAGAGAGTTCACGCAGAGCATCGCAAGTCACCGCAGAGCATTGCAAAGTCACCACAGAGCATTGCAAGTCACCGCATCAAGAAAAGAAAAGTCTCCTTTAAGACTGACGTTTGTTTCTGCAACCTTCAGATCACGGTATCCTGCATTTCAATTAAGGTCAGAGCTTTCCTTTATTACTCACTTATGCACATAGGTTTCTGCAAGAGACATTTTTGTGCTCAAGAGAATACAGACTTTTAAAAAAAAAAAAGACAGTTATAGTATATGACTCTGAAGTATTTAAAGTGAAAGTAATTTATTGCCTATGTATTTTGGTGCTATTACATGTAAAGTGAAAGTCATTTATTCTTGCATTTGTTAGTATTGCATTTAAAGTGACAGGTCCTTATTATTCACATTAATTGTTATAGCATTCAGAAATGGCTGAGCCTAGCATTGCCACCCCACTGTTAGCAGATGCAATGATAGATATGATAGAAGGTGAAGAGCAAGAGAACCTGTCTGAATCTGAAAGGTGCAATGTAACGGTAGTCTCGCCCCAAACAAATATGGCTGAAACAGGTGAACTAAGACGTTCATCACGGGACAGAAAGCCGACCCAAAAGGTGCTAGAAAATTTGGAGCAAGAGGCAGCACTGAAAGAAAAAAAGTTTGCCCGAATGTATGAGAGGTGGAAAGTATACACCATAGACATTCGCAGAAAGCTAAAACAAGAAAGCATAAAGGAGAATTTGAGTGAAATAATAGAGACGGTAGAAGATTCTGAGTCAGAGCTTATGACAGCATATGTCAACTTGCGGTCGTCCTTGATACCCTCCCAGGATATTGTAAGGAACATGGATACATGTACCGCAGTCACTAGGGATTTAGTGAAGCTTATGAGAGAACTATCATCTGCAGCAAATTATGATGAAGTCAAGGCCCGAAAGGGAATGAATGAGCTCTTCATGAAAGACTATGCTAGGTCCTTAGGAGGAACCACAATCTCAAGTATGACTTCCATCACTAGCAGAAGTGCCAGCCACATAACAGAGTCCTCAAGTACATCAGCCAAAAGAAAGGAATTAGCTGAACAACTCGCTGCCAAAAGAGCAGAAGTTGAGATGGAATCTGCCATTGAGGCTCAGAGGCTCAGCGTCTACAGATAGCCGAAATAGAGGCTCAGCGCCATAAAATGGAAGCCGAACTGGAAGCTCAGCGCCATAAAATGGAAAGTCTGGAAAGGCAGAAGGAAGTTAAGATTATAGAAGCCAGACTCAGAGTGCACGAAGAGGATACGAATCAGGGTAGTCATAGATCCAAATCAGTGCTAAGTAAGTGGAGAAGCTGACTCCTACGTTCTTCCTTACACCCAGGAAAATGGAAGGAAATCTCCAGCATGTAGTGAAGAAATAAGTCATAGTCCTTTCATCCCTGCTCAGAGAGAAAAGAAGAGAGACTCACCTGATTCAGAACAAAGTGGAAAAAGAGAACCAGATAATTCAACTCCCATATGTCATGGCAGTGGTCACGAGGATGTTACAACTGTTGACCCGGCGAAACCTCAGAGAATATTTCTCACTAGACTTCCTGTTCCAGAACCTACTATATTCTCTGGAGACGTACTGAAGTTTATAGAATGGAAGGCAAGTTTTGAAATGATCATTGAACATAATTGCTCCCGTCCAGTGGACAAGTTATTCTACCTCCAGCGGTATACTGGCGGAGAAGCAAAAAAGGTTCTTGAAGGTAACTTCTATAGGAAAGATGAAGAAGCCTACAAGCAAGCTTGGGAAAAATTAAATGCAAGATATGGTCATCCCTTCTTAGTACAAAGAGCTTTCAGAGAGAAGTTGATAAACTGGCCTAAAATAGGTCCTAAAGAACACTTCAAGCTCCAAGAGTATGGCGACTTCCTGCAAGCATGCAGCAATGCTATCCCACATGTTCAAGGACTAGAAGTATTGAACGACTATCTAGAAAACCACAGGATGCTAGCCAAGCTACCAGAACAAGTGGCTTCTGGATGGAATCGTTATGTGACTGAACAGTTAGATCACGGCAAAAACTTCCCAAGTTTTAAAGAGTTCTCTGAATTTGTCAATGAGGAAGCACGAATAGCGTGTAATCCAGTAACAGCATCTTATGTCTTAAAACCCTTAGAAGAAAGGCCTACAAGAGAGATAAGACGCTCAAGAGCAACTAGCTTTGCAACCAACACAGCTACTAAAGGTCCAGATGCCCATGAGAGCAAGTTCAATGTCATTACTGGAATCAGTAAAGAGTCAGAACCGACAAGTCTTCAGACTACCTTCAAGTGTATGTTCTGTGAAGAGAATCACTCCATACATAAGTGCCAAATATTGAAGGAAAGGTCTCCAGACGAAAAGAAGAAGTTTGTGTTTGATAATCAGCTGTGTTTTGGATGTTTAAGAAAAGGCCATATTACTAAAGAATGCAAGAAAAAGGCCACTTGCAGTATTTGTAAAGGACGTCATCCTACACCACTACATGAAGAACGTCCAAAGAAAGAGAAATCCTTAATGCCCAAGGACACTGAGGAAGAAAATAAAGCAACAGTATTCTCTTGCAGAGTGAGAGAAAGAGAAATCAATGGCACGTCAATGGTTGTACCAGTGTGTATTTCAAATCCTAAAAAAGGAAGAACAAGAAGGTATACGCCTATGCGCTACTGGATGCCCAGAGTGACGTCACCTTCATTGATCAAGAAATCTGCAAGAAATTACAAGTGGCCACAGAACCAGTGAAACTCAAACTCACTACAATGACAGGAAGAGACACATTGGTGAACAGTCAAAGAGTCAAAGGACTGAGAGTTAGAGGACTCCACTCAAACTGCATATTAGATCTACCTCCAGCTTATACAAAAGACGACATACCTCTGGATCGAGATCGCATACCTACCTGTGAAACAGCCAACAAATGGGAACACCTATCTGTCATATCTCATGAAATGTCCCCGCTGAAGGAATTTGGTGTTGGACTGTTGATAGGCTACGACTGTCCCGAGGCGTTGGTGCCACGAAAGATAATCGCAGGAGGAAAGGGTGAACCCTACGCAGTCCAAACTGATCTAGGATGGGGTGTTGGAGGAAAACGACAGATTGCAGATTCAGGACAGGTGACAGGATTGTGTCATACAGTTGC